CCCCCCCCCAACTTCAAGACGCACAAATTAAGGTATATGGATTACCTTCCCGTACCTCAAAACGCACAAACATGTATACGTTGCGTGAACAAAATATTTGTTACAGACTTGGCATTGTTTCGCCTTCAGCAACGGTGACAGCCGTCTGTCCACCATAAGGCCCGGCTTGAACGGAAGAGTTATAACTCTTTCGTTCAAGACAGTCGGTAAAGCACCCGCCCACTGGCTGGTGGTTCGACTCCAGGCTCGGGAGGATTTGTCGCCCTCCGTTTGGTGTTTGTGTTAGGCCTCCGGGCCGACCTGAAGTTCAAGTAGAATTGGAACACGGCTCATCTCCGTTGGCCGGGTAGCTCTCAGGTGGTACATTGGCGGTATAATTCATCAAGTATAATTTTTGGATGTGTAACCTTGAAGTGTAACTATTACGACTAGACCGGCGTGAATGGCCAATAGCGTTCGCGGGAAACAAGTGCGTGAATTCTGGGATGCCCATCCGTACACTTCAGGAAATATAAAAAAATGTGTTAATGTTGATGTTCCTTTTAAAATTCACACACTTGTGCCTTCCTGTGTACGAATGACGTTGGCACACCTACAAGTGTGCGACATTCACACGCCTATATGGTTTTCCGGTGTACTTAGGCAACCCGCCATGGTGCATTCCCCGCCCAACTCGCGGAACGGCACAGGGGAGGGACGCGCAAGGGTTGCTAAGCGCTCTGCTGAATTTCTCATATTCGCGACAAGGACGGTGGTGATTCGCGTTTTCTTTTTTTGGTTGACCTCCATTTTGTGTCGGGTGAAGACAACTGAATGTGGTAGACGAGATTATTTCTGTCAGTGTCAAAGAAGTTTAGAGTTTATCGACCATTAGCAGATATAGAAGTGCGTGTTTCTTCTCTCTAGTGTTCGAGAGCGCTTTAGCCGGACTGAGTTCTCCGGCCCGTGTTGTTGGTTGGCGCTCGTATTTCTGACCTTTTCTCTGAAAGGGTCTTCCGTTGACCGAGGGCGTCAGTGGCTTTGTTTGTAAACATACTATTCGGGTCTTAACTGCACCTCTGGACTCATATTTCGGAGTAGTCAAGTTGTATTTTCTGCTCTCGGGCGGAATCTGGTCGTCCACTTGCTATCCATTCTGTGATGTACTCGCAGAAAAGCTCCGAAAACGTCGTCGCTCTTCAGTCCATCCAAGACGCTGTCTCAACCTTCAACCTCCTCCACTCCAGGAGAAAAGGAATTTTCCTGCAATCAAAAATTATGCCCAGAAACTCTTTTGCCAAGCAATTACCACTTTTGGCACCATTAAAAACAATATTTTAAGTCCTTCGTATATTCTAGTTCTAAAATCGTCCCATTGTGCTGAAGTGTTGAGTTTCCCTTTGTGCCTCTCTGCATCTCTATTCTCAAGCAATCACCATGAAGCTCTTGGAAAGTTCTAGATTTGAGGCTATCAATAGCAATCTGTGCATTAAAACTGGCGACAGCAAAATTGTGGGAAGGTAGGTAGTGAAATCAGACATTCTTAATGTTATCGATTTGAACCCCATCACTTTATTTATTGTCTCTTGTCAAGGATCGAAAGTTATTCCTGCAAAATGGCTGGAAATGACAAACAACTTTACAAGCGATTCAATTCTGAACAAGGAACAAGTCCCCAGGATCTTCAAGCGCTTTCACCACCTCAAGCATCTATTGGAGTTGGAGTATCTCCACACAGTTTCTACAGGTTAGATATCTCCCAACATTTCATTTACTGTGTTGTATTTACTAGATGCATGTCTATATCTCTATCTATGTCTATTTCCCCAGTCGCAGTGTTTCAGGAGATGAGGAAGGGCCTCTTTGTGATACTATTAGTAGAAAAACTCTCTTCTACTTGATTGCAACCCTCAATTCAGCATTTCAGCCTGATTATGACTTTTCTGATGCCAAAAGTCACGAGTTCAGCAAAGAGCCAAGTCTTCTTGTAAGTCAAGTTCAGTGATTCTTTCGATTTATTCTAATTTCTATCTTTTCTCTATTTTCCTTATTTTTACTTCGTTATTTCAATATTTCAGCATGTCATGAATGCAGTGGACAGCAACCTGAGTGCCACTGCTGGAGAACAGTATCGAGCAATAAGAGCTCAGCTGTGGGCTGCAGTTGAAGATGAAATATCTATGGGTGACTGCGATATTTACAGGTATTTAATAGTGACGTACAACAGGTCTGTAGTCTTGTACCTTGTTGCATAGGAAACTTAAGTATTGTTTTATTACATTTCTAGCTACAACCCAGACCTGGCTTCAGATCCTTTTGGTGAGGATGGTTGTCTTTGGTCCTTCAACTACTTCTTATACAACAAGAACATGAAGCGGATTGTGTTCTTCACTTGTAGAGCTATCAAGTGAGTAACTATCCACCAACCTTATTCTGCTCTCATTTTCATTGATTGATTGATTATTTTGTATATTTTTTTTTCAGCCCCATGTACACCTTTGATTCTGGTGTGGGCAGTGATTTTGCCATGGATGAAGATGAGGAGGGTTACTAAATTACTTTGTTCAATGTCACTTGGCACTTAAAAGCTTAAACCCACTTGCACTAGTAAATGCAACTGTTTGAAAAAATATAAACACCACCTCTGCTGGTTTAATCAACTCAAGTTTCCAAATTAAAATCATGTTTATCAGTTAATTATCTTTGGCATGGCTCTCATGTTTGCCATGGTATGGATTGTTTCAGTCAGGAACGATGTATGTGTAGCGATTCAGAACACTGTTCTTTATGAAACTGCTTTTTGGCCTGTAGTCGATCTCATAGAAGAGTAGGGGCTATGAAATGTATGTATGTATGTTTGTACTTAAGTGGAGACTGACCGGATCTGGTTTTTATTTTATAACTTTAACTATCTATGTTCGTAGTGATTTCGTTTATCATAAGTTAGTAGTTCTCATCATTTGACTTTTTTTTCAATTTTACAGTAGAGTTAACTCATTTTCTTTTAACAGTAGTCATCATTATCAGCTGATAGCTGTTTACAGCATCACTCCCTATATATGGTTATTACCTACCTATTTTGTTAGCATTAGTTAAAACCTGACATTCTTGCCATTCTTTCCTTTTTTCTTTGCATGCCTTTATGCCCTGTCAGGGACCCTTTTTATTTCTGTTTTCTATGACAATGGAATATATATGTGACATTCATTATTTCCATTGGTATTTGCAGTATTTAACTTTGGTCAAAGTTCATTTATTTTTAATATTTCTGCAGATCTATATTTGTTTGCAATATGAAGATCCTAAAACAGATGCTAGTCTTGATTTCAAGAAATTCGTGATAAAATATATTATTTCTCGGTGATATGGTCTATGAAAAGATTTTACACAGCAAGCGGCTGGCTGGCTACTTGAGATAAAATTGGCTTGTGGACTCCCTTCTTGTACTTTGTTGGTATATTTTACAGGATCTGCTGCATAGACATTTCCTTTAGGTAGATCAGAAGAGGGGAAAAGAAAACTATTCAAATGTGCACTTGATTGAAACCAATACTTTGTGGGAATATTTGAAAAATATCTATTGATCTGTAACTCTGAGCAAGTCTCAATTTTCTGAGTATGTAAAAGCACTAATACTGTATGAATATGATATTTGTTGTTGGTTTCTCTATGTAGCCACTTTATCTTTTTGGTAGCTTTTCTCCTATTCTCACCTCTAGTTATTTAAGAATTTGTGACATACTTATATTTGTTCACGAAGTTAAGTCTTGATTCTATTTACATAGTTTATTGTACAGTCACTGACAAATTTATAAATTTCAAGTTATGGTGGATGAGTCTGGCTATGGCATGAAGTGATTATTACAAGATTTGAAATTACTGCATTTCCTGGCAATAAATATGATGCACAACTGTTATTTTCAGCTTGCGTTATATATTTTTAGAACAGTGCCTTATATTCATGTTATAGGAAGTGCAGTAAATTCACTTCATATTTTATAAATGGTAGATTTTAAAAAATTCTTGATATTGAATATTCTATTAACTGTGTGGTTAAATACAAAATGCTGTTTATTATTTTCACATTAATAACTAGTTCATACATGTCTGTATGTTTATCTTGTTGACTTTGACCAAAAGTGCTATTATAGTCTAGTTTATAGGCACTTTTGTCTCCCTCCATGTAAATATGTTTTGTCCAATCTTCCAATTATATCGTTGAAATGTGAGCACTGCAATTCTTGAAATGCATCCAACTTCCTCAATCTAACACTGTACTGGGTGGCTACATATATTTGGAAACAGGTTGGTGATAAGCCTCTTGACTGGCTGCGCACAATACATGAGGCAAAAAGAAGGGAACATATAGTAAACAAAACAGACCTTTGTTTATTTAACAAATAACAACCAGTTACCTCAAGACAGGAGAGGAACAAATTACAAGGGTGCTTACCATTATCATAAAGTGTGATGTGTGTCCATTGATAAAAATGAGCACATAGTGAAATTTTAGTTGAACAAACGCAAACTGAAGGAATTGTAAACAAAAACTAGTAAGCAGGAGACAAACACCCTACTCTCAGAAGATAAGTAGAATTTTCACGACAATAAAATCTTTCTATCTCTCAGAACAAACATTTAAAAATCTAATAAATATGTAATATGACCATTTTCTAGTCACAACAGCCTCAGACTGAAATTCTCTTGCACAATCACATTCTAACAAACAACTCAGATAAAGAGTACATATCTTATTATCACATGTAAGAAAGAAATATATAAAAAGCATTTGTATTAAATGAACTCACAGCTCTCATGGATTGAAAGACGTAAACTTTAAAGCTCTAACTAAAATAAATTATTTCACTTACATTAGTTATTATTATTAAAAGAGTATGGTCATTAGTCTTCCTCATCTGTACATCATAACATCTGAACTCTGATACATACACATATATGCATCACACAACAATCGCTTAGCATGTTCAGGTAGCTGCCGGTTGTCCCTCACATCCATCAGAGACTGGGCACCTTTGTCAGAAAGCCAGTAAGGCAGGTCAGGGCATGGCACCATTTCAGGAATGTTGTATCCATTCTGTTCTCCTAAAACAGGACATAAATTGGTTTGCAAATTTTAACATAAAAAACTGTTTCAGAAGTTGTAGTAAAGCAAATAGTTACCCTTCCGATCCGCCATGGAGTCAAAAAAGCACCAGGGAGCATCCAATCCACTCCCACACTTAACAAAGGCTACATAATGTGATGTTTCAATACAGACAACAGCAAATAGTTCCATGTAAAGACGTGGTATTGTGGAACAGGCTTCTTGTAAAGATTTAAAGTCCATTGGTACACTGAGCCGCCGCCACACGTGGTTACTACGTCTCTGATGAGAATGTGCCTGCAATTCAAGAGCAAATAGTGAGTAGGATACGATACCATAGAATAGATGAGAAGGTGCAGTACTACAATAAGAATTCAAGAATGGATAAACTCACTCTCCTAAGGCAGACCTCACAGTAAGCGATATTGTCAAGACCTACATCAAAATAATCCATGCATTCTTTACATTCATATTCTGCAAGTTTCCCACAAACAGTACACTGGCGAGGAGCTGTAACAGCATTATTAGAAGGAGAGTAAGTAAAAATTGTTGCAAAGAGTAGTGTATATTTGTAACTACAATAACTTACAGTCTTCTATTACATCTGTAACATCTAGAACTTGAGATGGAAGTATTCTAGGATACATTTTAAAGGACTTTCCGAACCTTGGCATTTGAATGATGAGGCAGGATGGGACCTAAAATAATATTAAGTAATTGTGTTCAGATTTTTAAACCTAACAACATCAACTTAAAATTTTAAAAAATAGAATAAAAAATCTTGTTTCACCTCTTTTAATTTTATATCACTAGCAAAGAAGCTTTGTTCAAAAAGTTTTTGAACAGATGGAAGTTTAAGCTGTTCATCTTTTTCAACAAAGAGTTGGTAATGATATGCTTCCTGTCCGGAACTCAGTTTTAGATAAGGTTCTGCCCGCAGGATCTGGGCCACAAGAGAATTTAAAAACTCCTCTGGATCTGAAATGAACAATTTAGAGATTACATAAAAGAAAAGAAAAAATTTCAAGAGCTCATTATAATCTCAACAGGAAAACAACCTTTCTCTTCACTTGTGAGGCCAGTAACTGAGCTGTGGTTCTCTAAGAGTGTTCTCAATTTCATTACTCTATCAGCACGAACAAAAAGTTTGGCACGTAATGGATTCACAATTTCCTCACGTAACACTCTTTGAACTTCTTCATACTGGACACAGTCCTTATCAGTTGGTGGTCGATATAATAAGCTGTCAAATACACTGTAAAAACAGGAAAATTTAATTACACCAGATGAGAAATATATCTGTAGAAAAAAATATCTGAAAATAATGGGTAGCTTTCCATATTACCTTGTGAAAGTAAACATACTGAATAGGGTGGCATCAAGATAGCAAGAATTGTGATGACCTTGAATACCATGAAATTTTCCACATTTGCTTTGGAGATCTCCACTCACAGCTACTGGTCTCACTATGCCAGGAATGACAGGACAATCTACCTGTCCAAAGGCTGAAAATTGGAACAAACAGAAGAAAAGCATTTTTAATAGAATGTTACTTGGATAAAGTAATAGTGGTGTGGTGTAGTGAACTTACTTTTACTTTTTGTATCAGTGCATGTACTTGGTGCAGGCTCCTGGAAACGGCTGTCTTTCTGACACTGGTTTATATTGACAAATAGAGCTCGTTGAGGATTACATGTAAAGTAACGATGATTGCGGAAAGTTCCATCTGTGAAGCCTGCTCGTTCCTCCTCCTGGCAAAAAAATATTTTTGATTTTAGTTTAAGAAATTATTGGTAAGAGAGAGTAAGTAATTAAGACTAACAAACCATTTCAATTCCTGCGACTTTGCGGGCCTTCTTGTCATCAGGTATGGTACCAATCCAGCGAATAACTCCATACATGGGTTCTCCATGAACTGGAACTTCAACAACAGACCCTACTCCTAAATCTGACTGAATAGCAGGTTCTGGAACATCCTGCAGCTCTTGAAATTCATGAAATTCAGGTGTATCATAGTAACCCTCGGCACCGCCAAGAATTGGATCATCTGGACTTTGACGATGAAGAGTATCCGGGTCAATATCTACAAAACACAAAACCAATACATTTGTTACAAGATTTATGTAAAATTTGGAGAACTTATTGAGACAAAACATGCATTAAGACATGCTGAGTGAGTAATCACTGCTTCTTTTTCCTTTAATGTGGTTGTCTGCTACTTCAGCCCTCATAATACTTTTGTAAAACGGAATGTGGAAATTTTTTAAATTTCACAATGGTTACAGAAAACCTTTTAGTCTTGCGAAGTGTTAATCAATTTTTTAATTTGAAACAAGTGGATATTAGTACAGCTAACAAACCCACCACTTTGGCGGTATACTGGTGAGTGCGTTAATGGCGACTGTTGCAATGATAGCTGGGAAGATGACTGCAGTGATGAGTAAGATGATTCCTTTTTCTTTTTTAAGTTTGCTTCTGCCTCACATTCTCTGCGCCAGGCTTGATATTCCTCCTCATCTCTGTACCAATCACCGGTCAGCACAAATAGTGGGATATTGTTTAGTGCCATCTCCATGATAAATTAGAGGAGAAATTATATACTCCAGTCTAAAGCAGCATTCTTTCCTTCACACTTCAACACTGAGCCAAGCTGCAAAACAACTAGGCAACACTTTAACTTTGAGTGCTCAGAGACTCAGAGAATGTGAGGAGGAAACACTTCTGAACAGTCCACAAGAAATTCAAGCACTCAAACAGATGTCAAATAGAAACGATATAAAATGGGGTTCTGTACAACTGAAGCAGCTCAGAGGAAGCAGGAAGTCCACACTAAAGAGACTGGTCCGCTCAGGGGCCCGTGCGGGACGGCGTGCGGCGCGGGCCGCGGGTGGACTATTTATAGCTTGGCACCAGACTGAGCACCAGACACTGTGGGAAGGAGGAAGGTGCAGGACCACGGAACTGGCGCTTGTGGGGGAGTGGGACAGGAGACAAGGACACAAAGCATCTACTAGGCCTGCCCCAGGTCAATGAATACATCAAGTGACATACATACCGTTTGTGTCATGCTGAGTTCGTTGACTAGATTGATCTTTGCAGGCATTCACTTTCCCCAGACGGTCATTTGAGCTTGGGCTAGATTCTTGTTTAGTTCTACTTGCCCAAGCTTGTGATTTACCACCCACCCACTCAAAGTCTGAACGTATGCTTTCATTCTCTCCATTGTTAACTTTTGGTGGCCGTGCTGTATTTCTGTGTTTGGTTCCATTGGTATCAACAAGATCATTTAAGACACCGAATGAGTCATTGATCTTCACATTAAGTTTTTCAGTTGACTTTAAGCTAGATGATAAGCTACTTAATGCATGATTGTTTCCATCTGTATCTTTATAGTAGCTTTCTCTTTTGTCTTTATAATGCACAGTATCATTTTTAAAGAAAGATTTTGAAGGCTCAGAGCTTAATGGGCTCAACAGAACACCATTTGTATTCACAGTGCTATCAGTAGAATCTTGATCGGAGGTCCATTTGGTGTCTGGAACACCATTCTTTGATGGTGTATACAGTTGGTCAGGTCTAAGAACACCACTGCTAATTGAATTTGATGAGCTGATACCTTTTGAAACAATGTCAGAAGGCTTCTTTTTCTTTTTAAGTAAGTCTAAACAAAATATTGAAAATTAGACATATGAGCTAAGATTTACCAGATTCATCATTCATGTACACTACTAACATTTATTTTCACACTCACCAATAGAGGAAGAATTGTCATACAAATCATCTGCTCTTACCAAACCCAAAACTGGTAAAAATGATGCATGATTCTTTTTAGCTTCAAATAATCTTCTTCCCTTATAAGTTCCACTTGTTTTACCAATTGGATTGTCCTTGTTTTAACAAAAGAAACAATTAGATGGGGGACATTGCCAGTACACCATTTAGATTTTAAATTTGATAATAGTAGGAACTTACAAATTCAACTCCAGCATGTAAGTCGCTTTTCTCAGGGTCAAGATTTCCCAACCATCGCACGACCCCATGTTCCTGTCCTGAATCTCTGAACCAAACAACTCTCTCTCCTACTCTGAGAGGCTGCTCATCCATTTGTATAGGACTCCTATTTGGGCTGAGATCTTAAAAAAAATAAAAGTAAGCAAATAAAATGTTAAATCTAATTTTATGAAAAGTATATCAATTAGGAGGATGCACATAGCATAACATACCGATCAATTTTTCAGTACGTTCAACACAGGGGGATACTTGAGTTCCATGTGACATGCTTTCAAATTTTGCTCTGACTTCTTGGACCACACATGATCGAAAAGGAAACTGGTTCTGCTGAAAACATATTAAAACACAAAGCTTTAAGAAAACTTACAAGTTACACACCACCTTCATTTGATGGAAAATTTATTGTCCCATACCTGTGTTGATGTTGAATTGCTATTAAAGTGTGCTGGGGTGAGAGGTGAAGAGACCAAATCAGATATTGGTCTTAACCTGTTTACAGCCACAAAAACACCCCTTCCAGGAGGGCATGAAAAATAGCGCGAGGACCCTGAGTAAGATCCATCGCAAGCATCAGAATCTCCTGGTTCTGCATCCTAGAACACAAAGGTCAAAAAGTAAGAATGAGATATAAGGAACATGAATTGAGTTAGTAAGATGATTGTGCAAAAGGGATATATGGCTAATATTGCATAAAAACTTGATCTGTTAAAAATCCAGTCAGTAAAAGCATGACATAGAATGACATAAAAAAAAAAATTATAGGCACTAAAAAAGTCATGAATAAAAAAATGAAAACAGTTTTTTTTAAATGTGCTAAAATAAATAAAAACACCATACAGCTGTTTCTGATCTAGAATGTTGCCAGTCAGATAGCCTAAAATTTTACTTCCCATTGGATTAGTATCTATAACTAACATGAAGAACACTCACATCTGCTCACATGTAGATAAAAAAAAATAATTCAGTACAGTAACTTAGGCAATGACAAGTAATGAACAGATTGATAAGAGAAAATACTACTATACCAATAATTCAAGTCCAAAGTAAATTCCAAATCCCATCTGATGGACAGGTCCTTTGTACTTCACAATTGCTTCTTTCAAATGCTGCATTCCATTGGTACTGGCACCAGTAGGGGACTTCTTTGGCAGTAAGTAAACCAAGCTGCCAACTTCAATTGCAACCAATGTCTCACAAAGATCTTCATCTAGAGCAAGTGCAACCCGCTCAGTTGGTGATGATACAGCCAAAATAAATGGCTTCAAGGCATTGTTGAAAGGTACGATGTTCCCCATCGGACACTCCCACAAATGTTCATCAAAGGGTCCATAAAGTCTTTCGCTATTGTCAATTCGCACGGCTACTATCTCGTCTTTGATTGCATACTCAACATATACAAGAGTTCCTAACCTCAAATTTTGGCTATGTTCTTTTCTGTTGACCTTGCATGCCATGTGATTTTTCCTCACAACATAGCACGTTTCCTCAGAACTCCTCATTTTAAATGAGATCTGTTCAGAGGTTTAAAAATAAACAGAACACATCCAGAAGCCAAAACAAAGCCAGCGTGTGACGTTCGATAAGAACAGTACGCGTACGTCAAAGCAGGCAAAGGTAAGCCCATGCAACATGAATATATTAGCATGCCATCGTTGTCAAGCACACGAAACACATCAATAAATAGAAAAGATCTGTTTACGCACAAAGAGTACACAACCACAACATTGCACTTGACATGTTATGAATGTTTTCGCTCAACTCTGGCAACATTGTCCTGGTATGACAGGAAAACAAAACACAAATCAACTTGGCAACATGGTAACAGAACATCAGTTCCTGTTCCTCAGGTCGGTCGGAGAAAAGAGAATCCGATGTCAACGGATTGAATGGCCCTGCATGTTTAGGTCCTGATCTGAACGAGAAATGGTTTTAAATGCTAAATAAAAACGTAAGTTTTGTGGTGCTTGGGAATTTTCAGCTTTCCAAGTGAAAGAGTTGGTAAACTTGCACCCCGCGCGCACTTTCAAATAATTTGGATATCAAGTGTTTAGGAGGAACCCAAGGAGAACAGCATAGCCCAAATTACTTTAAAATTGCGTCAACATGGTGTCATTTTGATCTTAAAAGTCAAAATCTTGTCCTCAGGTACGGACTTGGCCGTCAAAGTGACCTGCAAAGACACCGTTTTCACCCCGTTCTGACTTCGCGTTCTCACTAGGTACCGGGAAAGGCACATGTAGGAAAGTATTGTGAGCGGAGTATACTCCACAAGTGCATGCGGGGGCAATATGACGCCTTCCAGGATGAGGGTATGGGCAAATCCGCTACACTCGGGCGTGTTCCCCGATACCACCGGTACCGTATTTAAAATTCTTTTAGAGATGAGACAAAAATTAGCCAGACAACCGCTGTCCGAACAACATCCTGATCTAATTTCGCTCGTAGGGAGAGCGAGAGAGAGAGAGAGCGTGGGGCACGTCCAAGAACTTGAAGCCACCGCGGCGGGGTGGCCGAACACGATGGAAAGCAAATAGCCGCCCGTCGCTACCGAAGGGAGAGATAACCCTGCAGATTACAGCTCGTCGGGCTGTCGGTCCTGAGCGAAGGAGCGCCACTTGACCCTCGTGAAGTGTTTATGCGCGGTCCGGCCCTAGCCCGGGTGTTATAGGCCGTTTGGCGATAAGCATTTTTGTCGTCGTCGTGAGGTGCCATGGAATATTGTTTTTGTTTTTTATTTGTTGTCGTTTTTATTTCTATTTATTAAACTCTATCTCGTCGATTGGAAAGGGCCACGCGCCGCCCACCACCGCCCGTCGTCACACCAAATTAAGAGTCCCGATTTAATTTTTCTTTTGTGTCGTTTCTTTTTTCATTAGGATGGGTGAAGTTGAAGTTGAAGCGCCGGGACTTCTGGCCGCAGAGGAGGCAGCGAGAGCTGCGAGATGCTGGACCGCATAGAGCCCCCGGCTGGATAGGCAACGCGCCGGACAGGCGAGCCCGCGGGCAGCCTACCCTCCAGGCGGCCGGCGGCCTCCAGCAGCAGGCTCCAGCAGCCTTGGCTCTAGCCACCGCGAGCAGCGGCGCAGAGGGCAGGCTCTGCGCGCGCCTCCTGCGCGGAGCTGCTGCAAGTACGGCACCTACCTACCACCGAGGGGTATTTTACTCAAAACAAACGGTGTAAGTACCTACACCCTCCAAAAAAAAAAAATCAGAGAAAATAAACAAATATGAAACAAATAAAAAAAATGGGAAAAAATCAAGAGGAACCTAGAAAAATTTGTGTACGCTTGAATTTATAGAGAAGGGCCCCTCCGCTACAACCCGCGGCCAACACCGTGCGTGCAGGGCGCCCTTTTTTCTTGCCTGGAGGCTTTCGTCAACCATCACCAAAGTCACGATATGAGGCCACAATAATACCGTCACGTTGACGTTTTCCCCGGCAGTTTTCGAACGAGTTTTGAGGGTTTGGAGTCATTTTGAGCTGTCGACACGACACCGTTGACGTTACGGCTTTGAGCGTTTGGTCTGGTCGCGCAGTCGCGCCCAGTGATATGGTGAGCCTCCTCCGCACCGCACCTCGCCCTTTGGATGTGGCTCCAAAGAGCTCAACTGACTCACGCCGGCAGCCGTGCGTGTGACTCAGTCCGCCCCGCCGCGACACCCCGCGGCGGTGTTGTGGGTCACTTCAGACCCCGCCGTGGCCGGCAGCGCTCTGGTCCCCGCGGGAGGGGAAGGGGGTCCACCGCGCGTTTAGTCCACCGAGCAGGGGACCGAGAGGGCGAGGGGGTCAGCCACGCGGCCGGAGGCGGGCGGAGCGGCGGCGGGCGGCGGACTCTGCCCGGGCAGGTGGAATCGAGGCGAGAACTCTTCGATAAGGACGGGTCGAGTGGCTGCTACGGGGCGGGCGGGGCAGGGAAATGGCGGGGGAGGGCTACTCCCGCTCGGCCTCGCACCTGTGGGCTCTCGATCACGTCTCTTTTTATTCCTCGGCACCTTGGAAAAGTTTAAGAGCTTACGGGGCGTTGATGATTATTATTGGCTGATATCTCTGAGTGGATGATGATAGTTTGAACCCGTCGACCCGCCCGGTTCGGTAGGTCGGAGCGATTGCGGAGGAGGGTGTGATAAACAGACGTTAGACGTTCACACTTTGAAACAACTACCTAAGCACTTAATTTTTTTATTGAATTTTAACTTCTCCACGAAAATGAAAACATAATTACAACGAGATGGCTGGCCTGAAGTAGTGGAGCCGCAAAGAGTTACTCACCCAATGGTGGACGTTGGGAAACGGTCAGTGTCAGGAGGGGGTGGAGGAGCAGGCGGTGCCAGCTGGGGGTAGTTCGAATAAGTGGTTCGAAGAAAAATGCTGTGCCGAGTCCGCACCGAGGTCCACACCCCGAGGGCCTGCTGGGGGTGGTGGTAAGACATCCTTACTCTCACTCGTAGGCTTACTTTCACCCGCCTTAGGAGTACCGCGAGGAGTACAATGGTACTGCAGCTCGCCAGGCGTGGCAGGGGGCGCAGGGGTGGGGGGAGGGGGGGGGGGCTCATGGCGGCGATAAGTTGAAAGGAATCAGAGTCAGCATGGAGGCGTGCTGATAGCCGAGCCGAACGCCGAGCGCGTCCCCCCCACCCTACTCCCGCGGGGGGGCGAGCGATGCACAGCGGTGGGCCCGGCGGCGGGGCGGGCGGCGGCGGGCCGCGGGGGCAGCGCGGAGGCAGGCCCCGACCTTTGAGTCCCCAGGCTGAGAGATTACGGAGCCTGGTGGCCGCCCCGCGGGGGCGGGGGGCGGGGCGGGGGCGCGAGGGAGGGTGCCGCCTCCGATGGCCAGTACATAGAGGTGGCCGTTGCCCCCCACTCTGCCAGTCAGTCAGTGAGTGTAGCTTAGGGCGAGACGATCCCCCAACCCATCTCTTCCTGTGAAAGTGAGTAGCAGCGCAAGCGAGTCGCCCGCAGCAGCAGCAGCAGCAGCCGGGGTGCCCACCACTGTGCACCGCGCCCCCTCCCCTGTGTGAGCCCACCCCTCAGCCCCACCACCACCCCCGCGCCGCGCATCGCCCGCACGAGCTGGATACGATACACCGTCAGGACCAGGTAGAGCGCTCAAAAAAATCCGTCAAGTCCACATTATTCAATGTGGCTTAAAAGGGCTTCGCGTGCTTGGTGTTGGCCTCTGGACAGACAAACGCTGAGACACATAGACGTATCTGGATGCTCAAATTATGCAGCTATACTCTGCCGCCTATTGCGAACATGCGTGTTGGCCTTTAGCG